GGGCCGGCCTTAGGGGTGTGCGAGCTGTGCGGCCGCACAGGGCGCCATGGCAACAGGGGCGCCGGGCGGCTGACACAGCTCGCACTCAGTCACTCACAGTTCGGCCTGAGTCATGTACAGAGCAAGTCAAGTGCATAATGCTGTGCACTTGACTTGCAAATTATGAGCGGCCGGGAGAGAAAGTAGGTCAGGAGCACGGAGGAAGAGCGTGCTCCGCCTCCACAGTCATTCGCGGAAGGATCTGCACAGTCAGTTTGAGGGAGGTGGTCAGTGCTTTGGTATCAAGGTCGGCAAACTGGGACACTGTCAGGAGGGTCCAGGGAGCAGCAAGCTTCAATGTGAGTCTGCTCATTCTTGTTATAACTATTGCATTTTTTTATTAAATAGATTTTTTTTTGTTTTTTTAAGGGTGGCAGGTGTTTTTGTGTGTGGGGTTTGTAGAAGGGGGAGCAGAGGTTTTCTAGCTGGGATTTTGGGACAGGGGTTTTGGTTTAGGGAGGAGCAGAGGTTTTATAGAAGGGGTTAGGGGTTTTGTAAAATAGGGGGTAGAGGTTTTGGTGTAGGGGAGAGGTTTTGTAGAAGAGGGGGCAAACATTTCTGGTGAAGTGGCAGAGGAAAGGATTTTGTGGATGGGGCATGGGTTTTGTTGAAGAGGGGGCAGGGGGTTTGTAGAGGGGGCAGGAGTTTAGTATAAGGGAGGCAGGAGTTTAGTATAAGGGGGACTGGGGTTTAGTATAAGGGGAGCAGGGGTTTAGTATACGGGGGTCAGGTGTTTAGTATAAGGGGGCAGGAGTTTAGTATAAGGGGCAGGGGTTTAGTATAAGGGAGCAGGGGGTTTAGTATAAGGGAGCAGGGGTTTAGTATTTGGGGAGCAGGGGTTTAGTATAAGGAGAGCAGAGGTTTAGTAGAAGGGGAGCAGGGGTTTATGTAGAAGGGGAGCAGGAGTTTAGTATAAGGGGAGCAGGAGTTTAGTATAAGGGAGCAGGGGTTTAGTATACGGGGAGCAGGAGTTTAGTATAAGGGGAGCAGGGGTTTAGTATAAGGAGAGCAGAGGTTTAGTATAAGGAGAGCAGAGGTTTATGTAGAAGGGGAGCAGGGGTTTAGTATATGGGGAGCAGGGGTTTAGTATAAGGGGAGCAGGAGTTTAGTATAAGGGAGCAGGTGTTTAGTATAAGGGAGCAGGGGTTTAGTATAAGGGGGCAGGGGTTTAGTATAAGGAGAGCAGAGGTTTATGTAGAAGGGGAGCAGGGGTTTAGTATAAGGGGAGCAGGGGCTTAGTATAAGGGGAGCAGGGGCTTAGTATAAGGGGGCAGAGGTTTAGTATAAGGGAGCAGGGGTTTAGTATAAGGGGAGCAGAGGTTTATATAGAAGGGGAGCAGGGGGTTAGTATAAGGGGAGCAGAGGTTTATATAGAAGGGGAGCAGAGGTTAGTATCAGGGAGCAGAGGTTTATGTAGAAGGGGAGCAGGGGTTTAGTATAAAGGAGCAGGGGTTTAGCATAAGGGGAGCAGAGGTTTATATAGAAGGGGAGCAGGGGTTTAGTATAAGGGGAGCAGAGGTTTAAATAGAAGGGGAGCAGAGGTTTAGTATAAGGGAGCAGAGGCTTATGTAGAAGGGGAGCAGGGGTTTAGTATAAAGGAGCAGGGGTTTAGTATAAGGGGAGCAGAGGTTTATGTAGAAGGAGAGCAGAGGTTTATGTAGAATGAGTGCAGGGCTTTTGTAGAGGGTGGCAGTGGTTTTGGTGGAGGGGAAGGTTTTTAGTGATATGTGTACATTACTGTATAGTAGATATATATAATGACAGCATGTGTTTTGTTAAAGGAGGAGAAGGAATTTTGTAGAACGGTGGGCAGGGCTTTTATTAAAGGGGGAGCAGGGGTTTTGTAGAAGGGGCAGGGGTTTTATTAAAGGGTGGCAGAGTTTTTGTAGAAAGGGGGGCAGGGGTTTTGTGGAAGGGTTTTGTAGTAGGCGGAACAGGGCTATTGTTGAAGGGGCAAGGGTTTTGCTGCAGGGGGGGCACCACGTGTTGGGTTCGCACAGGGCGCCTGATTACCTAAGGCCGGCCCTGCACACTCACCCCCCGACACTGTCACTCATCCTCTATCAGTCTGTCCCACTCACCCCCTTCACCCTGCCACACTCACCCTATTACATAAACCCTTACAATCCTGTACTCCAACTGTGCAACACTCACCCCAAACCCTGTCACACATAGGTAGACAATGTCAGATACAGTCATATATACATACACCGCCACTTGTGTATATACGACTGCAAGGCTATGTAACCATACCCCTCAGTTATGTATAAATGATTGGCATAATTGCTAATTAAATTTGTTTATTGCAAATTAAGTTAGTTTGCAAATTATGCCATAACTAGAGTCGGAGAGATCACAATACAGCGGCACAGGGAGCCGCGACCCTGCAAGCCTCTGAATGATGAATACAGAGACTAGCTCTCTGTATCCAGCACTGCCAGCTTGTCCTTCAATACAACTACAGCACCTTATACACACAATGCAACCCCTATTTTTAACTTTAGCTGTTAGTGGTGGCCTCATGTTTGCGTTTCGCCTAAGGCCTCACATAGTCTAGAGCCGCCACTGCATATTGGTCCAGTGGTTCAAAAGTTAAGGAAAAGTCCTATTTGACCAAATGCAGCATGGCTTTACTGCCCAAAACCAGTTCCACAGAGTCTTCTATCCTGGAGATAATTGGGGAAGTAATCCGATTATCTCCAAGGACAGAGGCAAAACTCCATTAGCCACATGGCAGCAAAAGACAATAAAACACATAAAAACATATAACTGTGCAGCCATTGCACAAAACTGGTACATTCAACCTATCCCCAGATAGCTCAGATCTGAGCGCACATTATTACTGAATGGCGCTCAGATCACATACATACAGTTCAATTGCCATGGAGCCAAAGTCTTTCCCATAGTCTTTCATTATACAAATGGGCTCCATGGCATAGCTATCTGGGTAACACTGCTCACATAGGGAAAGTACCGAAAGACCCAGCTTTTGGGTCTTTGCAGGGGAAAATCCATCCTTTCAACATGGGGCCATAGTCCAAAGGCAGCAGGCGAGCAACCAGTGTACAGTGGCTAGGTTGGTTTTGCCACAGGGTACGTGATTGTGGAAGTGCCTCCACCCAGTGGAGTATCCAGGGTCTGGATGTGGGGTCCCACTGGGCACATATCTACACTAGTGATAGACACTACACAGAGCGATTTAAGTATAACGTTGTATTGCACAGCCAAAACACTATACAATTAATTAATAGATAAATAACATCATGCAGTAACCATAATTAACAGGCAATGACCCACATAAATCTCACTCGCCCAACAACCTGCAGCCCCACCTATGCTTCACCTTAGTGGCAGGTGGGTACCCTTAGTGGTGCACGGGTATTATATTCCAAAATATGGCTGAAGTAAACTGGTCAGAAAACTGGAGACCCAGGTCTGTTAAAATTATGTCAGTTTCAGTGTGCCCTGTTGTGAGACAGGAGGAGAGGATTTCACCATACCCTCCTCAGTCTGCATTCAGATCAGTTCACCTGTCACAGCAGCCTTCACTGTCATGGCAGCTTCGCCTATCACGGCAGCCTTCACTGTCACGGCAGCCTTCACTGTCACGGCAGCTTCACCTGTCACAGCAGCCTTCACTATCATGGCAGCTTCACCTGTCACGGCAGCCTTCACTGTCATGGCAGCCTCTACCTGTCACGGCAGCCTCCACCTGTCACAGCAGCCTTTATCTGCCACGGCAGCCTTCACTGTCATGGCAGCCTCTACCTGTCATGGCAGCCTTCACTGTCACGGATGCTTCACCTGTCACAGCAGCCTTTATTTGTCACGGCAGCCTTCACTGGTCACGGCAGCCTTCACTGTCACAGCAGCCTTTATCTGTCATGGCAGCCTTAACCTGTCACGGCAGCCTTCACTGTCATAGCAGCCTTTATCTGTCATGGCAGAATTCACCGGTCATGGCAGCCTTCACCGGTCACGGATGCTTCACCTGTCACGGATGCTTCACCTGTCACGGCAGCCTTCACTGTCATGGCAGCTTCACCTGTCACAGCAGCCTTTATCTGTCACGGCAGTCTTCATCGGTCACGGCAGCCTTCACTGTCACAGCAGCCTTTATCTGTCATGGCAGAATTCACCGGTCATGGCAGCCTTCATCGGTCAGCCTTCACTGTCACGGATGCTTCACCTGTCACGGCAGCCTTCACTGTCATGGCAGCTTCACCTGTCACGGTAGCCTTCACCTGTCACAGCAGCCTTTATCTGTCACGGCAGTCTTCATCGGTCACGGCAGCCTTCACTGTCACAGCAGCCTTTATCTGTCATGGCAGAATTCACCGGTCATGGCAGCCTTCATCGGTCACGGCAGCCTTCACTGTCACGGATGCTTCACCTGTCACGGCAGCCTTCACTGTCATGGCAGCTTCACCTGTCACGGTAGCCTTCACCTGTCACAGCAGCCTTTATCTGTCACGGCAGTCTTCATCGGTCACGGCAGCCTTCACTGTCACAGCAGCCTTTATCTGTCATGGCAGAATTCACCGGTCGTGGCAGCCTTCACCGGTCACGGCAGCCTTCACTGTCATGGATGCTTCACCTGTCACGGCAGCCTTCACTGTCATGGCAGCTTCACCTGTCATGGCAGCCTTCACCTGTCACAGCAGCCTTTATCTGTCACGGCAGTCTTCATCGGTCACGGCAGCCTTCACTGGTCATGGCAGCCTTCACTGTTATGGCAGCCTTCACTGTTATGGCAGCCTTCACATGTCATGGCAGCCTTAACCTGTCACGGCAGCCTTCACTGTCACAGAAACCTTAATCTGTTATGGCAGCCTTAACCTGTCACAGCAGCCTTTATCTGTTACGGCAGTCTTCATCGGTCATGGCAGCCTTCACTGGTCACGGCAGCCTTCACTGTTATGGCAGCCTTCACCTTCTTAATGCTTTCCTATGGACGCTGGCGTCTTCTCACTGTGAAAATCACAGTGATTAGTGCGCAAGCGCCTCTAGCGAATGTCAATGAATCAGCCACTAGAGGCTGGATTAACCCTAAAGTAAACATAGAGTTCTCTGAAACTGCTATGTTTACAGCAGGCAGGGTTAAACCTAGATCGACCTGGCACCCAGACCTCTTCATTATGCTGAAGTGGTCTGGGTGCCTATAGTGGTCCTTTAACAAATGTAAACCTATTTAGTTTAGAAAAACGTTGCCTGAGAGGGGATATGATAACATTATACAAATATATTCGAGGCCAATACAAACCATTGTGTGGAAATCTATTTGTAACGGACCGTTTTGCACACAAGAGGTTAAAAACCGTTTAGGCGATATTCCTCTTTTCAGATGTACAGATGTACAGGCAGCTACTACAATCACCAATCTCCCGAACTGCAAACACATGAATTCACCAATCTCCCGAACTGCAAACACATGAATTCACCAATTTCCCGAACTGGAACCAGGGGAATGCTCCAAACTCCCGAACAGGAAACACACGAATGCGGCTGCAGATCCAAACCCTGTACTGCATTCACAGAAGTCTGAGGCACTGAAAGATGGGTTCCAGCATCCAGAGAAGACATCAGCTGTGTTCCAGGCGCCACCTGCTGGACGGGTCCATGAACTGCAGCAGTGTTCACCTGTAACGGATCACCTGACAGCCCGACTGGGTACCTCCGTTGAAGGATGCTCCTAGCGCTTCCTGAGCACTGTAAGCACTGCAGCAGACACCACAACCACCGAACCGGAGAAGCATATGAATGCTCTCAAGCATATGAATGCTGTAAGCAGCTGAACAGGAAAAACATACAATCAGCTTACACTCCTGGCAATCAGCATACCATCCAATTCCCCCAATAATGAGACGACACTTCGTTTTGAGGTCAAGCAGAACTGATTTACTGGGGCTACCTGCCTGGCTTTTATGCAGGTCTCCCACCTGGTGGACACTCCCCTAGGGGACCAGATGGAAGACTGGGAAACATATTGGACATTGAACAATCTCAAGCTTACAATCCCACAATGCATCACAATACCTTCTCTTTGTCCTGGAGATAATTGGGAAGTAATAAACTCCATTAACGGCAGACAAGACAAAGGACAATAAAAGACGTAAAAATACATACTGTTACATTTATCACATAGAACATACACATTTTACCTATCCCCAGATAGCTGAGATCTGAGCGCACATTGTGACAGACCCATCTGTATGAACTAAAAGTACTGTGTTCGTCTGTTTTGCCGTTTGCATGAATTTCCCCATTCGTATGCTTTGTTTAAGGGAATGTCTTTTTTTTGTCGAACGGAACTACCGAACGGACGGCCACCCAGAAGAGAAGTATGCTGCTGGTTAACCAATTGATCCCAATTAGAACGTTGCGGTTAACCACAGACACTTCTCAATGAAAACCGAATACCGGGTGGTCGCCGTTCGTATGTCGACCACGAGGTGGCGGCCATTTTGACCATGCGAAAGCCCAGCGGTGTTCGACGATTATTTCATGGAACTAAAAACGGACACTTTTTCAACCGAACACCGCTGAAGCCGTCGACCTCCCCTTCTCAATCGACAAAAGCATACGAATACCGGACGTTCGGGAGATTTAACAACACGAATGGACTTAACCCAGATAGCCTTCCCATGGAGTCAATCGCATACCGAAGAACTGTAATAGACTTTGACTCCATGGCGATTGAACTATGCGTATGGGATCTGAGCGCTATTCGCCAATAATATGCACTCAGATCCAGGCTATCTGGGGATGTGTTACACGAATGCAATATGTTCGGCAGTTATAAAGTTCTGTATTTTATAACTTTGAGTTAAAATGGCGATTTGCCTCTGCTCTGGGAGATAATTGAATTACTTCCCAATTATCTCCCGAGCAGAGGGGAGGGAACTGTGATGCATGCTGGGAATATTGTGGGGATGTATGTCTGAAATGTCCCCATGTCCTTCTGTCATTTCAGTCTCCCATTTGGTCCCCTAGGAGAGTGTCCACCAAGTGGGAGACCTGCATAAATACGGGCAGGTAGCCCAAAGTAAACTCAGTTCGTGTTTTACCCTCAAAGCGGAGCTTGGTCTCGTTATTGGGGGGATTTTATTACCGGCGCCTAGAGACTGCTTATTGGAATTATTTGCCGCTTGGAAACTATTGCCGTTCGGCTGCTATTGGTGATTCGTGCATTTGGAGCTCAAGAAGGGAAAGAGCCGTACAGGTACTGTTCGGGAGTTTGGAGTGTTCCCCAGCTGGCGGTTCACATGGTTTCACTGCATACGCTACCAGACCACATTATTGCGAACGGGGAACATTCACTAAACGGCGGTTTGTGCATTTAATTACTGGAGGTACCGTAACACACATTATTACCGGATGGTGCTCAGATCACATACATGTAGTTCAATCGCCATGGAGCCAAAGTCTTTCATACAGTCTTTCAGTATACGGCTGGGCTCCATGGCATAGCTATCTGGGGTAGCATGGCTTTAACAGTCCACAGAGAGGCACAAACCAGCCTTTCTGCAGGGAAAAAGAACAGTGTTAAACATGGGGCCATAGTCCAGTGGCAGGAGGCGGGTGACCAGGCTCCTCAAGTGGCCAGTGGTGAGATTGGTTCCGCCACACTATTCACAAACCGGACTTTACATAGGACACAAGGTCATGTGTTTAGACTGGAAGAAAGAAGATTTCGTCTAAGGCAAAGTAAAGGTTTTTTTACTGTAAGAACAATAAGGATGTGGAATTCTCCGCCTGAAGAAGTGGTTTTATCAGAATCCATACAGATGTTCAAACAGCAACTAGATGCATACTTGCAAAAATAAAAAATATTCAAGGATATAATCTTTCAATGTAGGGTAATAACTGCTTGATCCAAGGATAAATCTGACTGCCATTCTGGGGTCAAGAAGGAATTTTTTTCCTAGCTTGTTGCAAAATTGGAAGCACCACAGACTAGGTTTTTTGCCTTCTTTTGGATCAACCGCAAAAAACAAATGTGAGGAAGGCTGAACTTGATGGACGCAAGTCTATTTTCAGCTATGTTACATAGTTTCCATTCCTTTTATCAATTTTGTAGCTCGTCTCTGGACTTTTTCTAGTGCCATGATATCTTTCTTTAGAACAGGCGCCCAAAATTGCACAGCATATTCAAGGTGTGGTCTTACCAGCGATTTATAAAGAGGCAAAATTATATTTTCATCCTGAGAATTTATGCCCCTATTTATACATGACAAAACCTTACTGGCCTTAGCAACTGCAGATTGACATTGCATATTGCTTCCTAATTTGTTATCTATAACAATTCCCAAATCCTTCTCGTGTGTGGTTATCCCTAATTCACTACCATTTAGTGTGTAAGTTGCTTGTGCATTCTTAACCCCGAAGTGCATAACTTTGCATTTCTCTACGTTAAATTTCATCTGCCATTTTGGTGCCCAGTCCCCCAATCTTTCCAAATCCCTCTGCAGCAAAGCAATATCCTGCTCACATTTTATTACTTTACAAAGTTTTGTGTCATCTGCAAACACTGATACATGGCTTTCAATGCCTATTTCAAGATCATTTATAAATATGTTAAATAGAAGTGGTCCCAAAACAGAACCCTGAGGGACACCACTTACCACTTTTGTCCAGCCTGAAAATTTACCATTAATTACAACTCGTTGTACTCTATCCTTAAGCCAATGTTCTACCCAAGAACAAGAATATTCATCTAGACCAATTTCTTTTAGTTTGAAGACTAACCTATTGTGAGGAACCGTATCAAATGCCTTGGCAAAATCCAAGTAGATCACATCCACTGCAACACCCTGATCTATACTTCTACTTCCTTCTTTGTAGAATGCAATTAGGTTAGTTTGACATGACCTATGGTTCATAAAACCATGCTGATTATTGCTAATAACAAAGTTCTTCCCAATGAATTCCTGAATATTATCCCTTAATTGCTGTTCAAATATTTTCCCAGTTACAGAAGTTAAGCTAAAATTTCCAGGCAAGGATTTCTATAATTTCCAGGCAAGGATTTTGAACTCTTTTTAAATATAGGAACAACATCTGCCTTCCTCCAATCCTCCGGTACAACACCTGAAACAAAAGAATCTTGAAAAATTAAATACAGAGGTTCACTTATTTCCCCACCTAGCTCCTTAAGTACTCGTGGGTGAATACCGTCAGGTGTAGCACCTTGTCTCGAGTTTAGTCACTTTAATTGCCTTTTTGCAAGCGTTATTGGCTTCCTTATATCTTAAATAGGATGCCTCTGATTTGTCTGATTTAAAGCATTTCTCTTATTTCTCTTGTTTTACTTCTCTACTAAGCCACATTGGTTTTAATTTGTTTATTTTATATTTATTACCCAATGGTACATACTGAGAAATGTACCTTTCTAATATTTGTTTGAATAGTTTACATTTATCCTCAGTGTTTTTATCACTAAGGAGTTTATGCCAGTCGATATGTTGTAGAGCTGCCCTAATCTTATTGAAATTGGCTTTTTTTAAATTATATGTTTTAGTATGGATATATTCCAGGCGATCTGGAACCAGGTCACAGCCGAGCAAAACGCAAGGCTGGACCAAGAATTCCGGCTGGCAAAAGAGAGAGAATATGCTCAGCGGATGGAGTGTTACAGCAGCCAAAGAGAGGCTGCATTCGAGGAGGTTAACCGTTTCCCCCTGAGGCGGCCAGAGGAACCCGAAGTAGGTGTCCTCATGGACTGGTCCTGTGAGGAACCACAACAGGCAGGTGGAGATGGGACCGAGGTCTCTCCACCGGGC